AGTGGCAGGTAGCCGGCGGGTACAAGCAGATCACATGGTGAGAGGAAGCAAGAGAGAGAGAGAGAGAGAGAGAGAGAGAGAGAGAGGTGAGTCTCACTCTCTCTGCTTCCACCATCTTGCAATGTGAGACCCCTGGGTCACTGTCACCAACACCAAATGGACTTTGGATTTCCCAGCCTCAGAAACTGTAAGCAATGAATTTTGCTTTTCTTTATAAGTCACCCAGTTCCAGGTATTTTGTTATAAGCAACAGAAATGGCCTAATACACCCCATCCCCACTATAGTACAAACTCCAAAAGGACAGGGACTTCGTCTTGTTCTCTACTATATCCCTAATACTCAGCTAATGCTCGACACATTGCAGGTTTTCAATAAATATTTGTTGAGTTAACATATAAAACTAGTCTTCTACCTGAGATAGGAGGTGTTCAGTTTCCATGGGTTTGGGTTTCAGGACACATCTCTGGGTTCCAAACCATTCCCCAAGGTCTCAGACCCCTCCTCGAGGCCCTCCTCTAGAAGAGAGTTACTCTTCCTTATTGGACCTATTTTTGGTACCAACATGGGGAAATTGAGACCTCTGGGGGCTGGCTTATGCAAATCCAGTGGCTGGGCCTTCTAAGTAGAAAGGGGTTATATAACCCTAGTAGCCGAGCATGCTCAGTAAAGTGGAATTTATCCTCTGAATGACCTTCCACTGGAGGCACTAAAGAGAGTAGAATATTCTTGAATATGTATGGTGCATGTGGTAGAATTTGACCAATGAACATGCCCTAAAAGGAGACCAACTGAGCATGTGCAAGACTATGTTACAGGAGCGGCTTCTGGTCAAGATGGCAGAATAGACGGTCCCCAGCATCACTCTCTCCCACTAATCAACCAATTTACAACTATGAAAAGGCAATGACAGTCAAGCTGGGGCTGCTAGAGTTCAGGGGAAGAGGAGGAGAGACCTATGGAGTTCATGAAGGTGGGAGAAGCCACAATGAGAGAAAGAAAGGATCGCTCCCACCATTTCAAGCCCTGGCTGCTTTAAGGCTGGAGCTGGTGAGCACACACAACAAGAGCTGGCAAAAGCCACAGCTGTATCCTTCCTATGAAGTTGCTTGGAGGCGGCAGGGGAGAAGAGGGCCTTGGTGGCCCTCAGGCTAGCAAGACCACTAGAAGGGTTCCTGTGGACCCACATAGGAGCAAGGAGCCACAGACAAGTGAAAATAAGAGCCACTCAGAGGCCAGTGAGTCATCACAAGGGACCAGCACATGGCCTGCCCTATGGGAAATGTTTGGAGTGTAGGTGGTGGGGGTGACGGGCCACCAGGGGAACATTGAAGCACAGGAGGAACAGCTGATCTGCCCCCCAATCAGCACAGGACCACTCTGTGGAGACTGGTCAGGAATATAGAACTGCAGGGTGTGCAGTTTGCTGAAAAGACTCAGGCCCAGACCAGAGTTTCCACACAACCCAGGTGTACTGAATCTTGCAAGACCCAGTAGTGCTCACAAGGTCAACCATTAAAACCTGAGCTGCACAAAAATCCTTCCCCAGAGAATCAGCAGCAAAGCAGCAATTTAGCTCCACCACAGGGCTCAAGTGTTGGTTCTCTTAAGAAGTTCCCTCATTTTAGAAGTAAGCAAAGGACAATAAATTAGTTCCAGTGCAGAGTTTAAGTGGTGGGAACAGTGAATAATCCAACACAGAACTGAAAGAAAAAATACTCACAGATTAGAGACAAACTTTGATATTAACCAGTAAAGATCTAACACCACCAAAGAACACCTATAAAACCTAGAAGGACCAGAAACCCCCTGGGCTCCAAAGCTGGGGAGGGGGGAGGTCTATAGGCCTCAGCCATGCCCCACTGAAGACTGCAGCCAGCACAGTAACCACCAGGCCACCACTGGAAGCACCCTAGGCTCCCAAGCCAGGGCAGTGGGGCCAAGAGCCTTAACCATGCTACCCCAACATCTGCAACCAGCCCAGTGACAACCACCACCCTGCCACCAGAAACTCCCTGGGCTCCTGTGCCTGGGCAGTAGGGGGCCAAGGGCTTCAGCCACACCCTCCTGACATCTGCATCCAGCCCGGTAACAACCAAGCCACCACTGGAAGCCCCCAGTCTCCCCTGCTGGAATGAGGGGGGTGCACAGGCCTCTACCGTGCCCCCTCCTTCCTCCTCCTCCCACCCTATTTCCCTCCCCCTTTCCCCCTCCCCCCAGTTGCTCTGCAACAACATCTTAGAATGTAAAGAAAATGATATTAAAAGAAAAAAAAGACTATGTTATGTAATTGGGAACCAATCCCTTAGTTGACTATTCACTAGATATCATGAATATGTATTAGATAACAAAATGCTAAAAGCGGAATCCCAGCAGGAGGCAGGGTTCTTGCTCACTTTCCTGGGGCCAGCCTCCACTCTGCCTGTGCAGTGTGTATTTCTTTTTGTGTTAAACTTATTTACAACAAGTGGCTGCTCACTCTCTTGAGCCAGCCTGTACTCTGTACTAAACTTTAAGTGTGGTTTTTTTTTTTAGTTTTTGTATTAAACTTGGTGTGGGCCCTGCTCAGTCTCCGGAGCTAGGCTGCACTGAGAAATCTGTGAAATCTGTATCTCATTTGTTACATTAAACCTGTTCTCACTTTCTCCCGTGACTCTGCTCTTGAATTCTTTCCTGTGGTCGAGTCAAGAACCTAGTAAGAGGATAGGGTGGGTTGAGGCTTCCCAGTCCCTCTCCTCTGGTATCATACCTGCCTATGCGAGACCTTGGCCTTGCTTGTCACTGGGGTGGAGACTTCATCCTGCTGGCAGACATGGGTGCTTAGGCCTGTTGGGACCATGATCTGCTGTCCTAGAGCTCCCTGTTTCTTTCTTTCTTTCTTTCTTTTTTTTTTTTTAAAAAAGATGACCAGTAAGGGGATCTTAACCCTTGACTTGGTGTTGTCAGCACCACGTTCTTCCAAGTAAACTAACTGGCCATCCCTATATAGGGATCCAAACCCATGGCCTTGGAGTTATCAGCACCGCACTCTCCCAAGTGAGCCACAGGCCGGCCCTAGAGCTCCCTATTTCTCAACACTCCTGGAAACCCTCTCCCACTCCTGTCTTTTCCAATCAATAATTCCCCACCACACCCCTGCAATATATACAGTATAATATGACCGAATATTCATCAACCATATAGCAGAATGTCATTGAGCTTCTAAACCTTGAAAGACTTCACATAAAAAAATTCATAATTTAGGGCCAGCCGGGTGGCGCACTGCTGCAGTGCGCCGCTTGGGAGTGCGGTGGCGCTCCCGCTGAGGGTTCGGATCCCACATACAGACCGGTTCCCGCTCGCTGGCTGAGCGAGGCGCGGGAGCAACACCGAGGGTTGCGATCCCGTTGCTGGTCCCGGTCCGGGACGGGCGTGACACTGAGGGTTGCGATCCGTTGCCGGACACCAAAAAGGACAAAAAGGAAAAAAAAAATTCATAATTTAATAGTATTGAGTATTGAGTGAAAGAAGTCAGGCACAAAAGTGCATTCTATGTGATCTTGTTTATACAAAATTCAAAAACAGGCACATGATGATATAACGATATGAGTCAGGATAGTGGCTGCCCTTGTTAGGGGTTCTGACTAGAGGCACGAGGGAGCCTTCTGGGTGCTGGAAACGTTCTACTCCCTGATCTTGAGAGTGAGTATGCACACGTAAGATGTACAGCAAACTCTACGGTTATGACTGGTGCACTCAAGACTGACTGGTTAGCACAGTTGCTCAGAGTGTGGTGCTGATAACAGCAAGGTCTGGGTTTTGATCCCTATACTGGCTGGCCAGCTGCCAAAAAAAAAAAAAAAAAAAACCTTTAAAAATAAAATGATTGGTGCACTTTAACTTACACTTCAATTAAAAGAGCTAAGTAAGTAAATAAAATATCTTCAAATTCTTAAGAGAGAGAGAGAGATTCAGCAAAAAAAAAAAAAAAAAAAAAAAAAAACCTTTAAAAATAAAATGATTGGTGCACTTTAACTTACACTTCAATTAAAAGAGCTAAGTAAGTAAATAAAATATCTTCAAATTCTTAAGAGAGAGAGAGAGATTCAGAAAGAACTGTGTCCGGGCACGTGTCTGCTCCGGTTTGGGTTGGGAAGGTGGGACGGGCGTTCCCAGTCCTTCTGTCTCTGCCCCTCCCCCCATCCTGACCAAGGCCAGCACCTGAATGTCACAGTTATCAGAGCGGGCACAACAGAGGCTGCCTCCCCAGTCCCGTGATGTGACCCAGTTTCCACCTGATTCTAGGTGACCTTGGGGACACAGGGGTGTTGCTGGGAAAGGGGAGGAGAAAAGAGGCAGAGACCAGGCAGTGGAGGAGGCGTCCAGCTGCACCGCCGGGGTCTCTGTGTCTGCTGTCCCATCCCGGGAAGAAGAAAAGGCCGAGTGATTCAGTCAGTGATGCTGGTTTGAGGCCGTGCGACGCAGAATGCACCTAAGTCACATTCCCCTATCTGCTCCCTTTCAGGCATTCCTGTTCTCTCCTATCTATCAAGATCTGGAGATACTTGACTGACTGATTGATCAGTTTGCATAATTTAGTTTCCTCTCACTGTGGCCCAGTTGATGGGAAGGAACTAGTCCCATCCCTCTCTGCCTGGGGAGAGTGGCCCCTCTTTGGCCACTGTGAGATGTTCTGATGCCTTGTTATCCAGAGCAAGGACTTCGTGTCCATTTGTCCCTACACGTGCTTTATTCTTCACTCAGCTCCCTTCCAGAAAGGCTCATACAGAGAGACTTAGATTGTTCTTGGGAACAATCTAAGCCAAAGATTCTGTACACTGCATGGGCACAACCCAGCAGGGGCTCTGGTCAAGTAGTGGAGCCAGATGGTGGTCCGGGGGTCTGGGTTGTTACTCAAGAGGCTAAGTCAGGTTTGGAGTCAGGCAGCCCAGAGTGTGCAATGTCAGCCTGGAGAGGGGCAAGAGTCAAGGGCAGGGGTAGCTCTGGTCCCTACCCTGGTTCCATGGGGAGTGCTGTGGTCATTGGGATACTCTCAGGAAAGGTAAGGCCCTGGGGCTGGTCCCAAGGAGCTGGGGGGTGACGGGGCCAACTGCTTATGGGGCCCTGGCATGCTGCCCCCAGGAGGAGCTCGCAGCACTCATCTCTGACCTGAAGCAAGAGCAGAAGAAAGTGGATGAACATATCGCCAAACTCGTGAACAACAAGACCCGGATTGTCGTGAGTGCCCTTTCCCTCTGCCCCTGCCCCAGAACCGGCCACCTTCGCTGTCCTGCAGGGCCCAGTTCCAATTCGTCCTCTGCAGAAAACCAGGCCCTCCACATAAAGCCAGAATTCAAAGCATTCCAGGGCAGGGTGGGGAGGTGCAGATCCTCTCAGGGGAATTGTCAGGACTGGCTCCAAGTTGGTTTTTGTCCTCCATGTCCTTGGGACTGAGATAACCCAGGACTTGAGTCCCAGAAGTAAACAACCCAAAGTGTGGGCACAATCCCTGCCCCCACACCATACCACCTGTGTCTGCTTGACTTTGACAACCTGTCATGGTGCCCTCCCAGTACCTGGGAGCACAGGTGTGGAAAGGCCAGAAGCCCTTGGCATAACCCAGGACTTGAGTCCCAGAAGTAAACAACCCAAAGTGTGGGCACAATCCCTGCCCCCGCACCATACCACCTGTGTCTGCTTGACTTTGACAACCTGTCATGGTGCCCTCCCAGTACCTGGGAGCACAGGTGTGGAAAGGCCAGAAGCCTTTGGTACTGATTTCCTAAAACTAGAGGCACCTTGGGGCTGGGAGGTGTGGAGCCCGGGCCTGGAGGTGGTTGTGAAACAGGAGCAGGAGCATCCAGTATCAGGGAGCATCGTGCACTGTCTCATTTAACCCTCCTCGCCCCGGAGGGAGGCAACATTATCCCCGTCTGAGGGAGGCACAGCTCAGGGGTCCACAGGGACTCCTGGGCTAGCGCACTCCAAAGTCTGCTCTCCCGGGGCTTTCAGATTTTTTTCAGTTGTGGAACCTGTGATGAAACAGGCAAAAGCAGAGCCATTCATTTGAAATGAGGGCTGGGGGTCCAGCCTCTCCCCTGCCTCGGGCCGCCCTACTGCAGGGCCACCTCTAGGGCTTCCCAAGCACAGTGTGAACTCCCTGGCAGGTGTCAGCCCACAGCCTCCCCTGGGACTCAGGTCTCAGAACGAGCCCCAGTCAGGAGGCCCCTGGGGACACTGAGGCCAGCCAGAGCCAGGCAGCTCAGCTGTGACTCTGCCGTGACTGGCCCTCCCTGTTCCAGAATGAGTCTGATGTCTTCAGCTGGGTGATCCGCCGTGAGTTCCAGGAGCTGCACCACCTGGTGGACGAGGAGAAGGCCCACTGCCTGGAGGGGGTAGAGGGTCACACCCGTGGCCTGGTGGCTTCTCTGGACATGCAGCTGGAGCAGGCCCGGGGCACTCGGGAGCGGCTGGCCCAGGCCGAGCGTGTGCTGGAGCAGTTCAGTAATGAGAGTCACCACGAGTTCATCCGGGTGAGCCGATGAGGGACTGTCCCCATGCCAAGGCCCAACGCCCCAGAGCCTTTCCTTTCCTAACAGTCCCCATGGTTCTGCACAGCCACCCCCTAGCCTTAACCTGCCTCTCTTGTCTTCCAGAAGTACCACTCCATGGCCTCCAGGTAATGACCTCGGCGGGAGTTGCTGGGGGAGATCTCAGCGGGTCTGGGGCTGCGGGCATGGGTATCTTGTCTCCCCTAGTTCCTCCATTCATTTTAACCAGTGCCTCCGGAGCAGCTGCCCACATCTGGCTCTGTAATCAAGCCCAGGGAACACAGATGAAAGTCATGTCCCTGCCTTCAGGGGACTCGTACATGTGGGGGGAGGCAGATGGTGAACTATGGTTACATCACTGTGGGTACCTAGAACCACAGAAGTTCATTCGAGCTACAGATATACCATGAGGAGGAGGTGATGTCTGGGTACTGACTGGCAGAGGGGCACAGGCTGACAGCTGAGAGAGGCAGAGGCAAGCAAAGTGGGGGACAGTCCCGTGAAAGGGGGAGTGGTGCACGGACTCTGGGATGTTAGGAGAAGTTCCGTGTGGCTGGGGTGTAAAGTACGATGCCAGGAGGAAGGAGAGATGAGGTGGGAGAGGGGGGGTGATGGCCAGAATGAGGGGCCTTGAAATGGAAGGGATCGGATCCATGTTCAGTCCCAACAAATGATCAATTCCTGCAGCTCCCAAGCCTTCCTCAGACAGTGCTTATGGGAGACTCCTTGTTTTCTCAAAATTCTTTGTCTTGGGGACACTTTGGTTAGGAGACATGGGATTAAATGAATGGACACAGACTCTGGCTTGCTCAGTTGGGAGCAGGTGTCCCCTGGGGCTGGGGCTGGGATACAGAGAAATAGTTCTCAGACTTCAGCAAGCATCAGAACCACCTGGAGGGCTACTAAAACAGAGTAGTTGGCCCCAGTAATCAGTTTCTGATGGGCAGGTCTGGGGTGGGGCCCAAGAACCTGCATTTCTAACAAGCTCCCAGGTGATGTCGATGTTACTGGTCCCTGGACCAGCACTTTGAGAACTGCTGCTATAGAGTGCTTCCCCTTCCAGGAAAGAGGCAGGTCCTCTAAGAAGCGGGTGAGAGGGGTGGGCACCGTGTATGCACAGGCCCCAGCTATGGATTTGGCCGGGTGGACTCTCGTCGGGATGGAAGGCTGGGGTGACCTGTGTGGCACACGACTCTCCTGTCACTGTGAACTGTTGCACACAGAGCAGAGCTCCAGCAGGCCCGGCCTTTGGAAGGCACGTTCAGCCCCATCTCCTTCAAGCCGGGACTCCACCAGGCCGACATCAAGCTGACTGTGTGGAAAAGGCTCTTCCGGAAAGTTCTGCCAGGTCAGACCCCAACCCATCCTCCTTCCTGAGGGCTGCCTTCTGCCCAGGATGGGCAGCAGCTTGCTTGGGTTGGGGTGAGAGCTGGGATTCCTCCAGACAGCATAGGTTCGAGCTCAGCTCCACCTCTTCCTAGCTGGGTGACTGGGAAACTTGTATAATTTCTGAGCCTCAGGTTGCTCATCTGTAAAGAGAGGCTGCTGACACCCACCTGGCTGGGCTGCAGGGTTTGTATATACGTGTGCGTGTGTGTAGTTTAGTGCTTAATAAATGGTTGCCACAGCTCTTTGCCAAAAAAAAAAAAAATTTAACTAATTCCTTTAATACTAGCATGCTGTTTACTTGTACATAAGGGAAATCAATCAGTGGACAGATTGCATCCATCAAAGGCAAAAACAGGGTTTATATAAAAGAAAAGGGGGAGGGGGAGGGGAAATTGCAGCCTGTGAACAGTGAATCTTGTTTGCACATTTTGGGGGTAGACTGATTAGCTGGTAGCTAGCAAAAAGGTCACTTGGGATAGTTTGTCCTTGAACAGGCTGACTGGGCTAGCAAATACAACAGCTGCAGTTACTATGGACTCTGCAGAAAGCCTCGCGGCTGGGCTGAGGAGCACAGGTGACAGGCCACCTGCCAGGTCCTCCCATCAGCATCTCCACCTTGGGTGGCGGGCCTGTACCTGTCCCTAACCATGATTCCACCTTTTCCCCTCTTCAGGCATCACTCATTCACTCACTCACTCATTCATTCATTCATTCAGCAAACAGCCCTGTGCTGCCCTTCTAGGCCCTGGGGATCCTAAGACGAGAGGACAGTGTTCCCATCCCGTGAAGCTCGGGGCCTGCCATCGGCCTCCCGTAGGCAGGTCTGCTGCCTTCTGTGTGGCTTACCAGGCCTCTCTGATCTCTTTCTCAGACCCAGAGTCTCTCCAGCTGGACCCTGCCACTGCCCATCCCCTCCTGGAGCTGTCTAAGGGCAACACAGTGGTGCAATGTGGGCTCCTGACCCAGCGGCGTGCCAGCCAACCCGAGCGCTTCGACTACAACACCTGTGTCCTGGCCAGCCAGGGCTTCTCCTGCGGCCGCCACTACTGGGAGGTGGTGGTGGGCAGCAAGAGTGACTGGCGCCTGGGGGTCATCAAGGGCACAGCCAGTCGCAAGGGCAAGCTAAGCAAGTCCCCGGAGCACGGCATGTGGCTGATTGGCCTGAAGGAGGGCCGGCTGTACGAGGCCTTCGGCTGCCCACGTGTGCCCCTGCCGGTGGCGGGCCATCCCCACCGCATCGGGGTCTACTTGCACTACGAGCAGGGAGAGCTCACCTTCTTTGATGCCGACCGCCCTGATGACCTGCGGCCACTCTACACATTCCAGGCTGACTTCCAGGGCAAGCTCTACCCCATCCTGGACACGTGCTGGCATGAGAGGGGCAACAACTCACTGCCCCTGGTGTTGCCCCCACCCAGCAGGCCTGGCCACCTCAGCCCCCCACCTCCTACCAAGCTGTAGGGCTGCCCGTGCTGGGCACGGTGGACTCATGGGGTTCTGCTGGGTCCTGAGGTCACGTCTTCACTGTTTGGGAAGGTCTTCTTGCCTGAGTAGTCCTGGAACATTTGATGATGGGGAGAAGGACCATGACCCCTTCCCCATCAGCCAGGGGCATATTTTGTTAAGTTCCCCTCAGTTAGCAGAACCAGGCCTTGGCATCCACGGGTCACACTGAGCTCCCCCGGTCCCTCTTGGTGGCTCTCTGTGCTTACTCTCCCAACTGAGGGTGGAAACATTCCTACACATACTTTTTCCTTATCATTGTGAACTTAAAACAACTCTTAAGGATAATAAATTTGACATTATTTCTTTCTCTTTAAATGATTTTCAAATATTAGCTACTGTACATAGATACTGCTTTATGCTCGAGTCTTTTAAAGCAGCTCTAATCTCTGGTGGGGCCAGGTCTCACTTCCACGCCCTGCTCACTTGGTCTATGGTTAGAGTCACATCAACCGCTCAGTCGCTGCTCCATCTTCAGAGACCTCTCCAGTCCCCCTCTCAGGTAGATGAGATGGAAAGGACACTACTTCAAAGCAGAAGCAAGTGGGGGTCACACGGGGGTGCTGCCCAGCCCTGAAGACTGCAGGCACTGGCAGTGTGCCCGGAGGCCACATCTGATCACAGCTGATGGCCTGGTGTCCCGCAGGCCAAGGCTGGGACAACTGAATCCTCTCTCAAGAATCTGAAAATTGGAAGAGAGAATGGCTGGAGCGGAGTCACCTGAAGACATGGTGCTTTCAAGAGAAGAGGCACAGCCCTGTGCCACAGAAGCCCATGGGGCTGCCTGAGAGCCTTTGTGACGGCTCCACCCTGGTGCCTGGACATGAACCCACGCAGGCCAAGACTTGCCCCGCAGCCTGCCCGAGGGGCGTCCAGGGACAGGAGAGGACAGGAGGCTGTCCCAGGCGGGTCGTGAGGAGCCTGAGGCCTTCTGCCCTGCCTCCTTCAGAATAGAGCTGCAGACTTTGCAGAGCTCAGCTGCAGTCTAGAACTGGCTGCCCTGACAGAATGCAAAACCTCCGGCTTCCTGCTGGGTGCAGTATGGGAGGCACTGGCAGGAGATCCAGGGCAGGAGAGGGAGTTTGAGGTGCTCATTTTCCTGGTTTCCTGCCTGCTGGGCTTGGGTTGGCAGCTTCCCTCTACCAAAGACTCCCGTCAGGTGGCTCTCCTCCTGTCACTCTTCCCCTGTTCCTTCAGGCCTGGGGGTGCAGCAGTGTTGCTGGCCTGAGTACTGCATCGTCTCCTGCCGGTTCCCTTAACTTTGACTGTTCTTTCATAAAGAGTCTCTTCTTTAAACTCTCCTCTTCCTCTCTGTCTGAGTGCACCTTCCTGCCTCCAGCCAGACCCTCTGCAGGCACTTAACACATCCCTGCTTTGGTTCGGCTAGCCAGAGTTAGTGCTTGCGTCTTGCAGCCAAGAGCTCTTACCTGATACATGTCCGATAGGGAGAAAGCAGAGGAAGGAGCACTGATTTCCTACGTGCAGGTGGCATTTAGGCTGAAAGACGTGGGACACTGCAGCTGGACCAGGGAGGGCCATTGATGCTACTTTAGTACCTATGGACGTTATCCCGCAGTAATGACAGTGTGGGAGTGGGCGAGTCTGCCCAGGGAGAAAATATTAGACCGATGGGAAGGAGGTCAGAAGATGGACACCAGAACCTAAGGAGCAGCTCGGATGAGGTCGCCGAGGAGACCTAAAAATGGCCAGAGGAACGGAGGGTAGGGCAGCAGGGGGAGTCAGGGAAGCCAGAGGGGGAGCTTTACAGCAAGGAGGGTGTGCATGCAGGGCTGTGAGGCAGAGATGCGGCAGGCAAGGGCGAGAGGAAGGCTGGGGCTCCTGGTGGTGTGGAGGCAGCCATCTCAGTGGGGTGGCCTGGGAGACAGTGCAGGGACTTAAATAACAGCCTATGATGAAGAAGTGAAGGCAATGATTGCTGACTTTCCTTTTAAAAAGTTTAATGAAGGGAAGAGAACCGGGTCACGAGTTTGAGAGAAGTAGGCTGAAGGGAAGGTATATTTAGGACAGAGGAGACTCTAAACAGTGTTGCCCAAAAGAATTATGTGAGCCACATACACGATGGTACGTTTTCTAATGGCTGCATCAAAAAGTTAAAAGAAACAGGTCACCTAGTCCCCAGGTCTTGGTTTCTAATGTCATTCTCCAGTCAAAGGAACCAGGACTCCTTGGAGAAATAGCTGATTCTAGAACTGAGGCAGGAAACATACAAAGTGGGCCTTGGATATCTTGTGGTGGCAGAAAGTAAGAAAGTGCTCAAAAACAAACAAATGCAGAAAATCCACAACAAAGAGACAGATTGGAAGCCGACTGAAAGCACTCCCGATGGCCAAAACTGGAGCAATTTGAAGGACAAGATATAGCAGTCCAAAGTATAAAATAAATATCCATGAGTCCATACGAATATAAATACATGATTGAATAAATAGATGGATACGGGAGAAGAAATAAATCTGTGCAGAATTCCAATTAATGTCTGTAGACATTAAGGTCTACAATAATGTCTGTAGCCCTCAAGGACGGAAGCACAGCTCCCCACTTCTTAAGCATGGGCTGCACAAAGTGACCTCCTTCCAGAGAGTACAGTGTGGAAAGAGGGAAAAAAGAGTAACTGTAGCGAAGAAACCTGACAGACGCGACCTCGGCCAGGTGATCAAGGTCGAGTCAGCAGTGATGAGTCGTGCTGATACCATGTATCCTTGATACAATGTGATGAGACCGGCACGTCACCTCTGTGGTCTTCCTCCCCCAAATGTATAAGCCCAGTCTAATCATAAAAAACCCCAGACAAATCCCAATGGAGGGACATTCTACAAGATATCTGACCCATACTCCTCAAAACTGTCAAGGTCATCAAAAAGGAGGAAAGTCTGAGAAACTGTCACAACCAAGAGGAGCCTAAGGAGACATGTTGACTAAATGTAATGTAGTGTCCAGGATGAGATTCTGGAACAGAAAAAAGACATTGCGTAAAAACTAAGGCAATCTGAATAAAGTATGGGCTTTAGCTCACAATCACTTATTAATATTTGTTCATTAATTATAACGAATGTACCTTACTGATGTAAGATGATAAAAATAGGAGAACCTGGGTGCAGAGCACATGGGAATTCTCTACCATCTTTTCAATTTTTCTTTTTTTTTTTTCTTCCTTTTTCGTGACCAGTAAGGGGATCGCAACCCTTGGCTTGGTGTCGTCCGCACCGCGCTCAGCCAGTGAGTGCACCAGCCATCCCTATATAGGATCTGAACCCGCGGCGGGAGCATCGCTGTGCTCCCAGCGCTGCACTCTCCCGAGTGCACCACGGGGTCAGCCCTTCAATTTTTATGTAAATTTAAAATTGTTCTAAAATAAAAAACTTACTTAGGAAAAAAAATGGGTGAAAATAATTTTATCATAATTATAAAGTGCAAACTTTGATACCCATTCTTTTTTTTTTTTTTGTCTTTTTCGTGACCGGTAAGGGGATCGCAACCCTTGGCTTGGTGTCGTCCGCACCGCGCTCAGCCAGTGAGTGCACCAGTCATCCCTATATAGGATCTGAACCCGCGGCGGGAGCATCGCTGTGCTCCCAGCGCTGCACTCTCCCGAGTGCACCACGGGGTCAGCCCTTCAATTTTTATGTAAATTTAAAATTGTTCTAAAATAAAAAACTTACTTAGGAAAAAAAATGGGTGAAAATAATTTTAACAATAAATACCTTAATTCTATATTAGTTTAACCTAAAATATCCAAAATATACATTTCAACATATAATCAGTTAGAAATTATTAATGAGACATTTTACAACTTTTTTCATGTCCAGTCTTCAAAATTTAGAGTGCATTTTGCACTCCTGGTACATTTGGTTTGGACTGGCCACATTTCAAGGGCGCCACAGCCACATGGGGCTAGTGGGGACCATAATGGACATCTCTGCTGTAGAGGCTAAGAGAAAGAGATAATAAAAAGCAAGAGGATGAAGATTCAATATTAAGGTGAGGGGGTCACAGACGGGGCAAGGCCCCGAAGAAAGGCCATTCAAAGGGGATGTGTTTGAAATGCTGCCTCCCCAGCTCAGCTTAGGGCACTGGGTGACCAAGGGTGCAGCCTCTCTGAGGCCAAGCCTCTCCAGCAGTGCCACCCTGCCTCTGGCTGTAGCCATGAGTTTTAGTTATTAAGAGAATACACAACAGTGCTGCCATTGTAGGCTTAGGGCATCATGCAGTCACAATTTTGAATGTATTCAGCTTGCTTCTGCTGATAAGTCCTTCAACTGTGGTCGTTTTTACATCATCAACTTGGTAACCTCTGAGATTGTCAGAATAGAACCATATGACTTCCTCTGAAATGGTCATAAGAAACTCAGCATCTTGGCCAATGACATAAACACTGTCCAATCCCACCTCCGTTCTCCCAACTGTTTCATACGGTGGTGGTAGTGACATTTTAGAATGAGTGTTCACCCCTCCCCTATGGGATGGATGATGTCTATGGGACAGAAGAGGCTTGGCAGACACCCAAGTCACTAAATTCAAGGACAGTTCTACATCTCATCTTCCTTAACCTTCTAGTACCCGCTTCCTTTGTTTACCTTCCTCCTTCCTAAAGCATTTCTGTCTCAGTTGTGTTCCCTGAGAAACAGACTGAGCAAGGTTCCAGTCCATGAAGTTTATTTGGGAGTGGAGGTGGCCTGTGACACAGAGAAGTGGAGGCAGCCCGGAAGAAGTGCACTCCTGAACCAGCCCCACACTGGGCAGCTGAAGCGTAATCCCACAGGGATTCAGAATGATCCTAGGCAGAGTGAGAGCGCTGGCGTATCTATAACGCACATCTGTCAGTCATTGGTAAGGAATGCCGTAGCGGGGACAGTAATTCCCATGCAATTCTGACTCACCATGCCCATAGGCATAGCAGGTTCAGGAAGCCCCAGGGGAGCCCTCTGACAAAGATGCTGGCTCTGGCCA